TACAGAATTGAGTTTTGTGAGACAGGATTGACAGAATTGAGTTTTGTGAGACAGAATTGAGTTTTGTGAGACAGGATTGACAGAATTGAGTTTTGTGTTCACAAAATTGAGATTTGTGGGACATGATTGACAGAATTAAGTTTTGTGTTAAAAAAATTGACTTTTGTGAGACAGAATTGAGTTTTGTGCACAAAAGACAAAAGTGAGTTTTGTGAGACAGAATTGAGTTTTGTTAGACAAAATTGAGTTTTGTCCCACAAAACTCATTTTTGTCAATTTATAGGTACAAAAATGGATTTTGTTGACAAAATTGAGCCCTGTCCTGCATGGCGCCCCGTACGTCCCCCACTAATACTATATATACGTAATACTTTGTCTGATAACGTCTAAATAATAGTCATATTACATATAGTCATGCGTCATGCATAAGATTCCACGTGCATAAAGTAACATCGTAAGAGTTTTTTCAAGAGTGTATGCATTTATTTCTCATATTCGCAGCCAAACGATGATTTTACAATATTCTCTCGTAATTATTACAAAATGCTACGCCTCAGAAGATCCCATCGAGCTGTCGCTGTCATTAGGCTAGTGAGAGTTCTGAAAAAGGGTGCTGTATAAGGTTCACACCTCTCTTCCGCAGCAAACTATATTTACATACTTCTCCTTTGGCCGTACTGCACGTCTGAAACGGTGCTCTCGCATGCACAATATCTCACAAGAAGAAGAATATTTTGCCAAAATTATGCATTTAAAAGGAAGACAGGTCATCCCAGCATAGATTTCTATGATAATATTCATTCAGTAGGCCTCACATATGAAATAGGAGGCAGATCTTGCACGTACGGTCTTCGCTGCATAAAAAAACAGTCAGTACACAATGTGACTACGTTACTGTTTTAGCGCATGCACAATATCTCACGAGGGAGTTATATTTTGTGCTGAAAATGCATTTAATATGGTCAGGGGGTATCTCAGCATAGGTTTCTGTAGTACATTCTTATCAGTAGACCTGTGTTTATAATTCGGAGAGCGCCCTAGCCAGTAGGGTGCAAAACTACTACTTAATCGCCGCCAGCCCTTCCCCTTGTCTCCCTTGTCGTACGCTCAGCCTCCTTCTTCTTCCACCGCCCCTCCGCTGTTTTCGCTGCCACCTTCTCTCAGTCTCCCAGCCCTCTCTTCCGCAGCAAGCTATATTACGTACTTTTTTAGGCCGTGCTGCACGTCTGAAACAGTGCTCACGCATGCGCAATATCTCCCGATAAATAAATATTTTGCCAAAATTATGAATTTAAAATGAAGAGGGGTTATCCCAGCATAGATTTCTATGAAAAAATTCCATTAGTAGACCTCACTTACGAAATAGGAAGCAGACCTCGCATGTAAGGTTTCCGCTGCATCTACACAATCTGGCACAATCTGACTACGTTACTGTTTTAGCGCATGCGCAATATCTCACCAGAGGAGTTATATTTTGTGCTGAAAATGCATTTACTATGGTCAGGGAGTATCTCGGCATAGGTTTCTGTAATAAATTCTCATCAGTAGCTAGTAGGGTGAAAAACTACTACTTCATCCCCACCCGCCCTTCCAAGTCAAATCCCTTCCAAAGCGATGATTTTACAATATTTTCTCGTGATTATTAAAAAATGCTACGCGGATGCCTCAGAAGAACCCATCAAGCTGTCGCTGTCATGGGCTCGCGGGCTACTACCTATTCATTAACATTACCCGCAGATTCATAGTATTTATGTCTTACTACAGAGAGGTATGCTCAATGTCACGAGGTATATATAAAATACATATACACACATGCACATAGGCATACTAGCATTAGCCGTTCAAACAACAACCAACGGCGCAAATACACTTCCCTATACCGGCCAATATGGCGGCCCCCGACTCCGAACCCCCTACCGCGGTCCGCTTGTATTGTGTGTACTGACGCATTATATCAAGATTCCATAATAGAGAGATAATAGAGAGAGTCCACGCACGGATCCATAGCGGCCATGCAGCGCGTTACACTTTGGTAGGACGTGCCCGCGGTCGCGTGCACCTTGCCGCGGAACTGCGCATAATATATGTAATACGGCGTGAAATACGCGAGCTTGCAGTGGGGAGCAACAGTCTAAAACAGGTGAGCACCCTCGGTTAAAAGACGTTTTGTCCCGTCTTTCTGACAACAAAGCACATATTTGTTGGTAAAAATTATTAGGCAACACCTTGAAGAAGACCTCTATCGATGTTCAGGGTCTACCCCCACATTTAGGAACCCTAACCCTAACCCTAACCCTAACCCTAACCCTAACCCTTACCTATGTTGTGTTTTCTTACGCTACGTTGTGTTTCCTTGTGTTAACTCTTGAATTCTAAACGTTTCTCTTTAGTGAGCATTGTACAATGAATGACTGTCTTTATTATACTACGTTTTCGCGCTATGATAATTTAGTTGCTCTATAACAATCCTTCACTCCTACTGTATTGATTGGAGTATCATTTATTATTGTTATCTACCCCATAAGATGATTTTCAGCATAACAATATTCCTAGGTATAACCTGGGAACCATTTTCTCTGTACACTCTCATGGGTAACGTACGTTAGAATGGCGTGCTAATTCATGACAGCCTCAGCTGTATCACATGTTTCGGCTGTGGTATGTTACGTTTCCTTAAGTTACGTTCTGTTCCATAAACATTGCACCGTTACAGTTTTCATAGCGATAGCGTTTCACACTATATGCTAATTATCATGTACTTCTCCTTTTAAAACTCATCGCACTACCACTGCATTATAAAGTAGCACTTATTATTCTCTACGTTCTTCTGAAACCAGGCACGCCGCGTCCTACGGGGCGCCATGCAGGACAGGCATTTTTGTACCTATAAACTTGACAAAAATGAGTTTTGTGGGACAAAACTCAATTTTGTCTAA